TGTGTGTGTGTGTGTGAGAGAGAGAGAGAGAGAGAGAGAGAGAGAGAGAGAGAGAGAGAGAGAGGGCAGTGAAGTCGAATGCCAACTCCAACCAGCGAACGTGATGAGACTGACTGCTGCACCATTTTTCCGTGGCGGCACGTCAGAAACAGACCATTTGAATTGGAATTCCTGCTGCCACTGCTGCAAGGTCGTCATGAGAAGATGCTTGCCCCTCGCGAGAGCATTTCGAGGATGGACCCACGAAACGCATCCAGCGGTCCAGTAAGGGCATAGTGGGAAGTAATGGCCCCTGTCAGCTGGGCATAGTGGGAAGTAATGCCCCATGCTGACAGGGGCCTGCAGAGAACTTCAGAGGCCCCAGGGGCACGGGGTAAGTCGGCTGTCAGAGGGGCATGCCGCAAATTAATCGAAACTTCAGGGGCATTTCGAAAAGTTTACCAAAAAAGAATCGAGAATTCAGGTCGGTGAAACTTGGCCCCCAAAACGTGCGAGCTACTACCGGTAGGGAGGGGTCGACCAGAGGCACTACTACTACGTGCAAACCCTTTTTTCCTTTCCCCAAAGGCGACGCCTTTGAGGCATTCTCATCCATCGATCTGACCTCGGCATTTACCGCGGTGTGCAGTCGGCCGAGGTCCTTCATTCTTCTGCAGTCCATCGGGATTCCCAAGCTGAGGTCTGCGTATCAGCAGTTCCCCCGGGTGCAGCATTCAGCCACGTGAGCTTTTTTTTCCCTTTTTTTTTTCCTTTTTTTTTCCCTTTTTTTTTGGGATCAAACTTGAGATGCTCGTTCCGCGAACCTCCCACTGCGCCCACTGTTCTTTTGGGAAGAGGAGGAGGAGGAAGGGGGCGGGGGAGCGTCATGCAGGTCAGCCGTAGGGAGAGAAGAAGGCTTGCACGGCGCGCGGGCCGGGGGTTTGGAGGTTTACCTCGGAAGAATTACGTCGTGCTCGGCTTCGCCAAGCAGTTCCACGTGTCAAACACGTGTTCAGGCCAGAAGGGGGCACCGTGGTCTAACCAGAAGGGGGCACCGTGATCCAACCAGCTACGGCGATGGGTGGTCTAACCAGAAGGGGGCACCGTGATCCAACCAGCTACGGCGATGGGTATGGGGGGGGGAGGATGGGGGGGCGAGGTGGAAGGACAGAGGCTAAGCAACGTGGTAGTGGTAGTCCGAGGTCGTGGCAGTGATTGCCGACAATCGTACGGGAGTCCAACAATCAACTATGGCGAGGTCCACGTGGCCTGCCCTCCCATTTCGATGGGATTTGATTAAATAAAATTGGATAAGATTGGAGTTGAATGGATAAGATTGGATAAGATTGGATACTATTGGATAAGATTGAATACGATTGGATTGGATTGGCGGGAACTTCGCTGGAGAGAAGGATTACCTGGGCAGTTGCAACACAATCAATCAATTGATCAATCAATCAATCGACCAATCAATCAAGCAGTCAATCAATCAATCAATCGATCAATCAATCAATCAACATGGGGAGTCTAGCGATTCAATTAATCAATCAATCAATCATTGAGGCAAGTGTTTTTCTAGATCGAAGTGCTAAGACAGCCGCGTGCCCTGCTGGTGATGAGGAGACGCAGCCTCTGAGTGACACGTGTATCACGGATCTTCCGGAGGTGTTGATAAGCGAGGTATTGGGGAAATTGGACACAGCACGGGATGTCTGCCGGACAGCTACAGTCTGCTCGATGTTCGCCTCAGCCGTTCGATCTAATCTGACGTGGCAGCGGCTGCTGCCACGTGGATGTCGTCTTCTTTGCCAGTTGCACGCACCGTCCTCCTTCGCCTCTTCTTCCTCCTCGTCCTCCTCCTCCCCTTCCTCCTCTTCTCCCCTCTTCTCCTCGGGTTCTTGCGCTGATACCACCGGCGCGGAGGCGGAGAGTTTGCGCACCTGCTACCGCCATCTCCTCCGCGGCTTTCCGGACTCGAATTCCCCTCATATCTATTATCAATTGGACGAGTCCACCGGCGCGCTGCGGACTACCGTCTCGGTCATGGCTATGTCTGTTATTTGGGGCAACGACTTGCGCTACTGGATGAAGGTCCCCCTCGAGAGGAGCGTGTTCAAGGAGGGCATGCAATCCCTGAACGTGTGCTGGTTCGACGTCAAGGGGACGGTCACGTGCGCTCTGCCACGTGGCAAGTACATGTGCGCCTGGCGGCTGTCCCAGGGCCGGGAGTACTGGTTCCATCCCCGCACGGAGGTCACTGTTTCCATCGAGGGAGTCCCAGTCATCCAGCGTCAGATAAGGACAGGAAGGCGGGATATTGCCCATTATCCCGACTGGTCGGAGTTGCCGGTGGCGATCATAGAAGTGCCCCCGCGCGCGGAAGGGGAAGGGGAAGGGGAAGGGGAAGCGGAAGCGGAAGCGCAGTTGGAGGCGGAAGATCGGCTGTCCTCCGTAGCAGTTAACTTCCGACTGTTCTGCTTTGATGGCGGGGCGAAGCAGGGGATGATCGTGGACGGGTTTGTGATTCGCTCTGCGCTGGAGGACGACCTGGAGGACGGAGGTGCTTTTGGGTGGATTGGACTTGGACTCTCTAGCAATTCGAAATTGGAGGGGATGATGCAGCAATTGATGCGCAAGAAGCGGCGGAAGAGTTTCTGGAGAAGTTGGCGATCGGAGCAATGAGGTGGAGGTCGGGGGCCGGAGGGGGGCCGGGGGGCGGGGGCGGGGGCGAAGGCGGGGGATTGTGGGCGGGAGAGAAAAACGAAATCCCTTGGGCTGCGCCGGGCGGGGACATGGTGGACCTATCAACGGCCGGGTCCTTTTCATCGCAATTGGAGGTTGGGCTGGAGCTGGACACCGCCCTCCATCTCTCAGCTTCTGCAACGGAGCCGACGGAGTGCTTCACTCCCCCCCTATCCATTGGTCCGTCAAGGGCTCTACGCGTACGAACGTCGACACTCCGTCACGTTCCACAGAATCTAGCGCAGGAGGTGGTGGCCTGCATGGAGGAGGGGGTGGCCTGCATGGAGGAAGGGGTGGCCTGCATGGAGGAGGGGGTGGCCTGCATGGAGGAGGGGGTGGCCTGCATGGAGTAGGGGGTGGCCTGCATGGAGGAGGGGTGGGCATCCGTGTGGGGAGTCCGGCTTTCCGGTGTCTTGGGAGCGAGTCAACAACGGTGCTCAGCAAGGATGTGCCACGACCGCCCAGCTCGGCTCCAATGGAGTTTGGCGGTAGATCGGGGGCCATCTGCGCAATGGAAGGGGACGATTATGATGTCCCAGACGACGTGGAAGGGGATGGCGAACCACCTGCAAGCCCCCCACCACCGCCAGAGCGGGGCGGCGGGGGTTGCTGGACGTCCAGACGGTTTTGGGCAGGGGAGCAGGGGGGGGGAAGGCAAAAGAGAATCGTGGTGCAGACGCTCCGAAGGCGGACAGCGGCCGGTATGTATGGGACAACACCGTCCATCTCTCATTCCGATCCACTGCAAGCGGGATCAGGAGCAGTACTTGGCAGGTTGCCCATCGAACTTCTCAAGGATGAAAAGGATGAAAACGAAGGAGTGGATGTGGTCTGGATATTGAGAAGCGTGTGGAGGCGCAAAAGGGGTGGTGATACCGGGACAGCGTCAAACGCCGTAAACGCTGGGAAAATATGTTTACGTGGGACAAATATAGTATTGTAGACAACCAAGAAGACCGTTCGGTAGTATTTTAGACAACCAAGAAGACCGTTCGGTTCTGGCGACGTTCTGGAAGCCGACAGCTAAGTAGAGGAAAGGCAAGGGCTACAAGTGTTCTTCCTAGATGGTGAGTTATGGGATGCCATTCACGCTGGGCAGAACAACAACCAGACGATCAACCCCACCAACGTCGGTGACAGTGGCGTGGCGAACGACCTGCTGACAATACGGACAGCGAAGGAGAGGACGGAGAAGCGAAGGAGAGGACGGAGAAGACATGAGCACCGACTGTGCTTCAGCATCACAGAGGTTGCGCCATGGCGAGAGAAAAACGGCAGGGGAACAAGCTTTTGCGGGGGTGGGGGAGGTGATGAAGGAGCAATTCTTCTGTGGTGGCGGAGTCCGTAGATCGGGCAAGCCAGCGCCAATGCGAAACCATGGACAGGCAGTGCAACGTGCTGGAACGCGAGATTGAGATACACAAGTGGCAAAACTGCAAACAAGGGAAGACACATCCAGGGTCACAACGGAAGCTGGCGTTCTGCCGCACGTGTATCTCAAGCGGCAGAAGGTCCTGTCCGACGCACTCATGGAGATCGCGGAAGCTCTGTCGAAGCCGGTGATAAGCGCCCCTTGTGCACGTGGTTGCAGCATTGCCCCTGGCCATGCAAGCTCCTCCTCCTCTTGTTTTTTTTTGTGTTTTTTTAACTTTTTTTTTTATGTTTTGTTTGTTATTAATGTAGCAATACAAATACGCCCTGCGACAGCCATCTCTCTTTTTTTTGTATCCGCTGGCTGTACGCTGTGCCCAGGGTTACTCCTTCCCGTTTTGGGAGGCAATCAATGCTGTGTGGCAAGTGCAGATTCCATGTTTTTTTTTTTTTTTTTTTGCCCACGGTTAATCCCCCGTGCTTTGGGAAGCAATTAATGCTGTGTGGCAGGTCATGACTGCATGGTTTTCTTAGTTTTTTTTTTTTTTTTTTTTTTTCGCTCTACTTCCATTTATTGCTGCTTCGCATCTCACTCTACTCCCATTTGCTGCGTTTGTAAGGGGAGCGCTGATTACTTAGGTAGGAATGAGTTGTCGCCATCGGGGTTTCCCTTCTATGGGGTTTTGTTCCCAACTGGCTTGTCGTGTCGTTGAAAGTACGCAGATACATGCACCCTAAGTGCCGATGGCCAAACAATCAAGATGCAATAGGGAACTGGATTGAATATATGCAGTCTCTTTTTATGTGTTCGTTTTTTTCTTTCTTTTCTTGGTTTTCTTGGTTTTCAGCCTTTCACGTAATGCGAAGTTGAATCTGCCACGTGGCGGATCACCAAGTGATCTCAGTGTGTTCGTGGATAAGATTGTTGGGTGTCGGATCACCAGCCGAGGGTGTGAGTACTTATCTTTGGCTGATTAACGACCGAGAAGTAATGTGGGAAAAAAAAAAAGAAAAAAAAGAGAGAGAGAGAGAGAGAGAGAGAGAGAG